GTATATATAATTTATTTAAAGTATAGATATAAACACGTTTATAAAAATGAGTATAATTCATGAGTGTAATACATTCTTACGTTCACGCCAACAGTTACTGGATGCTTTGTGTTACGTCATTAAATCAACAGGATCAAATGTAAATCCGCTACAAAAATCCAGCTTCCATTGAACAGTAAACATCAACTAAAAGTAACATAATATCGATGATATAATTTTATACTCAACAATATACAATAAATGTAATATAACACATGTTCTATGTATTATATTACAGTTATATTTGATTATTTTTTAGTATAAAATTATATTAAAATATTACATATCCAAAATGTTGATTTTTTTACTGTTTATGTCTCTTACTGCTTAAGTTTTTTGTACACAGCTTTTACTAGAATTATTAACATTTACTGTTAATAATGATTCTAATTATTACAAATAATCGATTTAACCCTTTAGACTAAATTAAAACCCATTTAATTTATGTTAAATGAAAAGTACCAATTAATTTCCAGAACCAAAGTACCATAACTAGGTATAAAAAAACAATGAATACTTAGTTTAATAACAATTAACGACAATTCTAAATTACAGATGTAACATAAATATAATTGAATGGATCCAATTAGATTCACTGTTAACTTTAGAGGATTAATGATATTTATTGCAAAATACAAAATAATAATTCATATTTATAGAAGAAGGTGCAACTGCACGTTTCTTCCAAATTTTAGCCTGATAGATTAAAAATTATGTTTTTTCCGGAGCAATGAGCCGTTTCTGTGCGACGAGGTGCGAGAGGTGATAGTCTACTTTGGAGAATAAATAATAACGTAAATACACGGCGATATATTGCGAATAAATAACGCGGTGATGGAGTAAATATTAATAACGCGCGCTCGACAACGTGTCCTGATACTCTGCGTTCGATTTAAAATCCGATCGCATTCTTGTTGTTTACAAGGATAAATGCAATATAAAAGTCCGGGGAAAAATATTTCCTCTCGCGGAGGAATAAACGGCAGAGTCATGAGTCGCGGGACGTATTTTGTTGTAACGCACGATTGCTGTCGTCATCTCATCACATGTGCAGAAATCAACAAAGTGAAGTACAAGTCATTACACCTTTCACGCGCGTGCAAAATGAAGGTAGCTCTATCGGCTCCGTGTCGTCACTCGTTTCGTAATCCCTGCACTCGTATAAACGAGCGTGATAAATGATTTTGTGAGAACAAAGTCTCGAGAGTTCTCTCTTAAAAAAAAAAAAGAAAAAAAGAGCTGACAAGAAAAAGAACTGACACGTGGAAACGTAGTACAGCGCATAATGACGAATGAAGAAAAAAGATACGCGTGTCGGTCGTTTTTACACCAAACTATGTGATATATAAACGGAAAAATTTTTCATAATTTTTTCCTACAAGTTCCGCTAATTGTCCCAATTTTTCACTCGCCAACGAGTTAAAAAATAAATTAATATATTATATTTAATCAGAGTTTTTTTGTCGAGATGACACTTTTCGAATTAAAAAGTGAGTTACATTTATTTTTCTTTTTTCTTCACGCCGCACATCTGTTCCTGACTTAAGTAGATTATTATGTAAAAAGAAAATATTTGCATATATATTGTGTTTATAAGGTATCCATGCATATTCATTGCATAACATTCGCGGACACTGAAATACACAGCATCTATTATTATGTTTCCATTTTGCAGTCTAGACTTTCATCTAAACAATTCATATATTTTTTGGAAAATCATACAGATAGCTTCCTGAAAATTTTATCGAGAGGAGCATCAATTACGGTCACTTTATTTTTATTTTCAACCCGCTGTATCTCGGTTATGCGATTTGTGCATTGCATGTGTGAAATTTAGATCAACACAATGTTTCGTTAACATTCAGTACACTGACGTATCTCATGAATAATTTTACAATTTAAACACATGGAGAAATGTATTATCTTTTTTAATCCTCCGGAGCTGATAAAGTCTGTAACGTAATTATTGACACTGAGTCTATACGATTCATTTATGTTTGTAATTAAAAAATATTAATTAATTTCAAGAAACCAAAATGACATAATTAACTAAATATAAAATAAATATAAATATAAAAAAAGAGTGAATGTTGAATATATTTTAAGAAGAATGATATAAATTTGCAGATGTAACATAAAAGATTGAATTGTTTGACGTTTTTGACAAAGAGATTTATAATTGAGTGGTCCAATAGACCTATGTCAGTTTCAGAGGATTCATCGAAAAACAGCCTCTGGAATTTATTGTCATCGTTATCTCTGTAGTGCTGAAGTCACGGATTTCGTTTTGGCCATTTGACTAGATCAGACGTAATAGACTGTGCATTCTTTGATTTATCATCTGTGTTTCATTAAGTCTTGCGTTGATCTACGATAGAAATTGGTCCGAGATTTCAGACAGAGAAAGAATTGACCAATGGCATTGATTATGTGACCGAATTGTTCAAATGTGATTGAACAATTTCTAACATAATAGACACAAAATTTAGAAAAGAATTATATCAGTCTCTCTCTCTCTCTCTCTCTCTCTCTCTCTCTCTCTCTCTCTCGCAGAGAGATACTGATATAATTTCTTCTTAAATTAAAAAATGAGATGAAAAAGAGAGAGAGAGAGAGAGAGAGAGAGAGAGAGGAGGGGGGGGAGAGGTAATGTGATTCAAGTTACCTTATTTTTATAATAAAACTGCTAATGACAACTTCGTAGGAATGTCCAGTTTATTTTTATTACGTATATGAAGATAAATAGAGGTGGACTTCATTCATGTTTTCGAAAGTTTTAAAATCGAGATGTTATCGCGGAATTAGCAGATCGTGTGGTTATGGAGAGCAGTGAGATAGCGTCGTTATCTCGAATTACACAGGTGCCTTCGACTTAACTCGAGTATCTCCTCTCTCTCTCTCTCGATCGCGCGATTGTTTCTTTCCTCCTCTCTCTGTTGATTTTTTTCTTGGTAATTAGACTTGTATATAGATATGCTATATTTATATCCCCTTGAAAACGCACCACCGAAAGATTCATGGCTGCGTCCAAGATAAGATAGAAACTAGAAGCTCGTTCTCTATCGGCGGGTGTTAATTAAACGCACATGTTCGTTACGAGTTCGTTCGATCGGTGTACGTGTACGAGAAGAAATCATTGATGTTGCGTGTCTACAGTATCAGGCAGGTTTCATTCGAATTTGGACAGTAGTATTATATATAATCGCTCTTTTTACGAGCCACGTTAAAAATATCAGCAACAAATAAAAAATCGTCCTCTGCGTGCATTGCGTTAATGATTTGTTACAATTATTTGTTATTTTCTGTATATTAATATACATTTGTATTTTGTATATATTGATATAATTTATGCAATTATATTTATGCAATATTATCGGGATCGTGAAAAGTTAGAACATAATAAAAAATTAATTTAATCACTTTTTTTTTACTCGTTAGTTTTTATGTTATAAATCAAATAAATAAATAAGGACCGAACACGAAATTGAATTTTGCGAGATACTGTTTGGTTTAATAATATTTATGTGTAAATTTTAAATACCTTGTCCAGCTAGAATAAACTACGCTTCGATTACGTCAGAGTTGTTAGTATTATTATGAAATTGACGATCAATTTAATTGGTGCTATTATTATTTCAATTTCAGTTTATGATTGTGTCACAAGTTCAGCAATAATCTGCGCGCAGTTCGAGGCGCAGTTTATGTAACTAGAAGATGTAATTAAAATTTACATAAATATGATTAAGCTTCGATCGTACGTGGCCCTTGCTTCATTTATTCATATTGTAGTCTAGTTTATCTTATTATCGTTTAGTTTCTATAAATATGCATAACGTGAATGTCGAACGAGATATAAGCCGTGGTCGTTTCTTACAACAATTCTATAAAATGCGAAATAGCGCATCTTATGCTATCGCTCGGTCGTTGACACCGCCGATCGATCTGCACGGATTTATTCGCGCGTCATCTACGTTCTTCGTGTATGCGTGCACGGTATTTGTGTGGACACACAATTGCACGTCTGACCACCTGTACTGATTAGTGCACACTTGGGACAATACGAGATACTGCGAACGTTGCATGCAGATGGTTCAGATCAGAGTGAGAAGAACGCGTTTTGTCGCGAAGACAATCAATAGCTTCCGAGCTGTAAACTGTGTAAATTAACGAATAAAGAGTTAAATAAAGAGTTTTATAAGACTTAAGAATAGTGTAAACA